TATGATAAAATGGGCTAAAAATTTTGGATATAATATACAAATGGAACAATGGGAAAATATGCGGATGAAAGGATTAAAATTTACACTGTGTTATAATTTGAAGGAGAATTTCTATCAAATGGTGTATAGATGGTATTTGTCACCAGAAAGATTATCAAAAATGTACAAAAGGGTTTCAAACATGTGTTGGAAATGTGAACAACAGGAAGGGACTTTTTATCATCTTTGGAGGACATATAATAAGGCTAAAAAATTTTGGACCCAAATTCATACATTAATTTGGAAGATTTTGAAGGTTAATATACAGTCAAAACCAGAAACTTTCCTTTTGGGACTGATGGATAAACAATTGGAAAAAGCTCACGGATTTTTGTTTTTATATATGATAACTACAGCTAGACTTTTATAAGCTCAAAGGTGGAAAGACTCGACATTATCTACAATGGAAGAATGGATGGTGAAGATGATGGTTAGCTGAGATGGCCAAACTGACAGCTTAGCTTAGAAAAAAACCACTAACTTTAATGCCAATTGGAAGCCCTTTTTGGACTTTTTGCAGGAGACAGAAAAAAATGAAATTATGATGTATGGATTTGATGATTAGTTAAATAAATGGGTTATACAAAATATGTGTTAAGATGTAGTTTTAGAGTAAGAAGTTATTATATATATCTGCTGTATAAGAAGTTGGAAGTTATTCTTTTTGTAATTTTTTTCTTTCTTCCCTTTTCTTTACTTTCAATCACTTTTATATTATTTCTTTATTTCTAATTCTCTTGTTCTTTACTTTTCTCCTTGATTATTAGTTCTTGTTTGCTTTTATCTTTATGCTTTTTATAACTTAATAAAGTTCTTATGAATATATCTGCTGTATAAGAAGTTGGAAGTTATTCTTTTTGTAATTTTTTTCTTTCTTCCCTTTTCTTTACTTTCAATCACTTTTATATTATTTCTTTATTTCTAATTCTCTTGTTCTTTACTTTTCTCCTTGATTATTAGTTCTTGTTTGCTTTTATCTTTATGCTTTTTATAACTTAATAAAGTTCTTATGAAAAAAAAAGTGAAGCAAAACAAAATCCTCAGCAATAGAAATGAAAAATGGGACATTGACCAAGTCCCCCTCACAACAAAACACAAGGAACTAAAAATTCTGGCAAGTAGTAGTCCATAAAGAAGATGGAGGTAAGCAGAAATAGCACTGACACAACTACTGGAGGACTTTTGCTTAACCAAAGGTCTTAAATTAACAATTTTTAAAGCAGGTGCCTAAATGCAGATATCAACAATTAGCAAATAAATTTGTTTGAATTTTTGAATTAAAATCTAAATTAAACAGAGTTTATAAGATTTAATGATTTCCTCCTTCTGTTACATTAAACTTGACTGTTCAACAGGAACCTTTTGAAGGACTCCTGCGATTATAATTAAGCTTTGAGGAGGCTGCATGTGGTTCTGGACCATCAGGTCTTGCACCCCTGCTATATATAGTACTTCAGGTAAGTCTTAACCAGGAGATCTTCCAAAAAGCCTTATTCCTGGTTACCATCTTCTACATATTAAAAGGCTGAAGCACTTTAAGAATCAAATAATTATACTAATGATTTATATTGCTGGGCATCTCAATTTATGCCATACCTGTCAGTAAGAGACATGAACCTGAGCAGAAGTGTATTAAAGAAAGCAATCAATTCTTTCTGCAGTTGTTGTCTTACAGCAGTCTTTAGGTCATCAACTTCATCTTGTGCCTGAGATTCTGGCTGTACCACAAGATCTAGTAGAGATTTTGGATTCTGCACAGGAGATCAGAGCATAATGTCAGAATAGAACAATTATTTCATTTCCTAATCTCCAATAGAGCAAAAAAATCATGTTGAAACTAGCAGTTGATATGCTTTTGCCAAACTAGAAAAAAGCTATTTAAGAATATGTTTTCTTAACAATTTATACAGAATGAATATGCTGCATAACAGAGTATGCATGTTATTCAGTAAACTAATTTCAATAATACAAAAATTCAAGCAACCAGGTGATAAGTGTTTCCTGGCAGAAACAGGACGAATTTATCAAAGGGTTTATTAAGTGGCACTGACTCCTTGGCCTTCTAGATGTAGTGAGTTTCTGAGGACAGTTTTCTTTTTGTGAACTACATTCAAATGTACTTCCTGTTGTAATAGTTATTCTGTGGCAAGCATATATTTCTCCTGATCTCAAATCAATTTTTATTGGGAAAAACATGATTGTTTCTAATCTCATGTGCTTCTTGTTGTTGAACAATCTTCTGGTAAGTTCTTGTGCAACAACATTTATACAAGATAACAGAGCAATGCAAAGGTTCTTTTTCTGCACAGGATAGACGGCCTTCTGGAGTGGATTGCTCCTCCAATTCACTCCAGTAGGCAGGGCCAGGATTTTAGACCATACTGTGGGAAGTAGTTGCCACCTCCTAGTTTAGAGAGCTCCATCTAAAAATAAAAAAGATAGCAAAGAAAAAAAACTACCCCTCCTTATACTTCTTACTATTCACACATGGTCCAGGATGGAGAAGAATAAAGAGCCTTTTGAGACGTGTAATGTTACAGAGCTGTACATATATGAAAAATACATAATCTGTTGAAATCCAGTGTTACTCAAGGCCCTTACATGCTTCAGGACTATGTCCAGGATCCATTTTATGTGTTCAACCTCTGAAATATTCTTCTGTTCCTTCAGAAACTTGTTTAAAAAACATATGACATCAGCCAAAAGTTTTTCATCCTCTGAAGAAGCTGGAAGCACCTGAAGAAACCTATTATGTAAAAACCATAATATTGTACATGTCATTACGTAGCCGTAGCTGTCACTAGTATTGCACAATCAATGTCGCTTGCTGGAAATATGAAGATAAGAGATTGAAAATAGCAATATACTGATGCTAAATGTAAAATCAAAATCTTTTATTACAATCATAGATCAGAAAAAATGCTAAATGTAAATGTCAGGAATACAAAGCAGTTGAATGCAAGAGTTTTTTTTTTTTAAGATAATAAAAATCAAAAAGTTCAACCATGAAACAGAATATCAGAAAATTCATAGCAAAAGGAATGGTCAAAGAAGTTTTATTGCCGTTATCTTTCTCCCCATTCCTTATGCATTTGGCCTCCGTGAACCATCTCTATATACAAATCAGACAGCCTGAAAATTACCAAAAGCAAATGTCTCACTGATCTAAGCATTCCTCACCATATTCTGGCAAGGAGATGAATGCACCACTTACAATGGGAAGAGCAAAAGGGCAGAGAGAAGGGAGACTCTCTGCTAAACATGTTTTGTAGCACTGCTTTATGCTTAGCCACCCTATGAATGTGAAAACCTCCTTCCTTCTTGGTTGCTAAACACAACTGATTTACCACTTTCAAAGGTATTCGTTGCTATGGAAAACTCTCAGGAAGATTCTAAAGAAAGTGGCTATCTTAAAAGTTTCAGAGCTAAACCTACAGTGACAGATGGCTTTGTAGTCAGCTGGGTACCTTGTACTTACACACTAACCTGCTTAATGCTGTTTGCCAAGCCAAGGACTTGAAAGTGGCTCCACAAGGACTACTGCTGCACATTAATGCCAGCCTATCATTCAGAATATAAAAATTCATTCTTGTGACAGCAGCCCTAACTTCCCTGTGGGATGCTGCTTGAATGATGGCATTAAGACAATCCTGAAGACCGAAGGTTGCACATGTTAGCTTCAGGATAATAATATCTTCTGAAGAGAGCTTTAATGTGTTGGAAAATCTGGAATTTTAAAAACATGAACATTAAAATGATAACTAATGGGTTTGTTTAAAAATAACCAACTAATAAAGCATCTCAATTTATATTTATGTTTTTCTTCTTTCATCACATTAATTTAAAGTTTTATCTTTTGGGTTTTGGAACCTTCAAATAGTATTTGTCTTCTTGGTCTAAGGGGCAATTAATGAAGAAATCTTTCACACAGTGTTTTTCCTAAGTTTCCAGGATACATAAACAGTATCCCCAAAATATGCCCAATGGAGATTAGAAGCTATGGAAAGTTTAAGGAAAAACTAAGGATAGGGAAAAAATCTTACAGCTTGTTAATTATTTGGAGGATGGGTCGCTGGCTGGAAACTTTGTTAGGAATCCCTGGCCTCAAGACATTATTGGACTCTTCCTTAGTCCCCGATCATTAATCATGCTGGCTGGAGCTGACAGAATTTGAAGTCCAATTTTAGTTAGAGAGTTACAGTTTCCCAACTCTATTCCCAAATGGAGCTCAGTATTTTATGGTAGGTGCCATTTGTTAAAACACACACATAAAAACTTCCAAGTCCCCTAAAATAAAGACACAAAGTCCCAAAACTAAGTCAATGTTGCTCTTTGTTAAATATAAATTGGAAGAAATCTTAGAGCTGGAACAACAAAATGAATAGCTTACTGTTCAGCTGCTGTCTCATAACTGGTGAGTGCAAATAAATTATCTGCTCCATGGAACCAAGACAAGTTCCAAGCCATTTTTAGCATGTCTGACACATGTTTTGAGGCCCAGAGTTCACAAGAAAATGGTAACACCACTGAATTAGGACTGACAGCATGATGTGCAGAGACTTTGATAGGAAGATGATACCTGTAAGAATAAAAACGGAAAAATTGAAATAATGCTGTTTTCTGAGAACTAAATTTGTATTGGCCACTATTTAATTACAAATAGTCATGGCTTAAGACTTTTGAAATATTTCTTTACATACTACTCTTACATGGAATATACAGTGATTTCCTGTTCAAGATACTAACAGTCCCTACATCTACTTAACATCATTCAATTCTGTAACATCAGATGATCTTAGACCATAAACTAGAATCTAGTTTAGAAATCACTTTTCTTTGCAGAGCCTTGAATTACATCTAGAACAAATAGTACCACATCACATTAAGCCATAACTGCAGCTTGTTTGATTTTCATCAGCATGAATGAACACAGACATTCTGCTTTGCAAGTCATGGCTTATGGTTAATGCGTGAACTATGTCACTTTGGACTGCTCAAATAACCACAATCATTGCTGAGAATTCTGCGAGTTGGTGTCTCCGTATTTGATTGATGCCAGATTGGGAAACTTAGTTACAGAATAACAAAAAGAAAAAAAAAATCTGTTTAAACTGAAAAGTGTAACATTGCTTTGAAAAATACATAAGAGTCAAGTATTCCTGAGCAGTCTAGTAATGTTGGTGGAAGGGAACAACACAAATCATTATGGGAAAGTCACCATGACATACACTAAATGGCTTTCATATTTTAATTGAAGCACAACTGAATCTTTTGCTATCATAATTTGTGACAAAATAAAAGAAGGTAAGAAGCTTCCACTGATAGATGAAAGTCTACTTGTGGAATAAAGAGAATTTAATCCATTTAGGGTTCTTTAAAAAAAATAAATAAAAACATCCCCTTGGAATTTTACCCACAACACAACAGCATCTACACAGAAAAACTGTCAGTCATACGTATTCTGTATTAGTTAAACTTCTAAACCAAAAGCCACTATAACTAGAAGTAGATAAGTGTTATTATTTTATTTATTTATTTTATTTATATTTCAAATTTGTTACTGCCCATCTCACTACAAAGTGACTCTGTGATCATGTTGCCGGGTCAAGCTCTTTCAAACGTCATTAAGGCTTTCTAGCTTTTTTATTTAAAATACTTCATTCACAGTGCAAAAATCAATATTTCTGCATGGGCACCTCTTAATATGAATAATAACAACTCTTACCTCCTTACAACAGCAACAGGCAAGGTGAAGTGGGAAATGCTGGACGAATCACAGGAAACAGTATCAGCCCTGCATAAACAAACCAGTAAATACATTCAAACAAACAAACAAACAAACAAAAAACACTAGGTGTTAATCAGTTTATGCCTTAAGTGTCATATACTTTTAGCTAAGCACTATTATGAGTACACAGTGCAATGCTCAAGGTGCAGTGCAGGAAATCTGTAAATTTTGTTTTGTGTCTGTCAGGCTTCACAACAGGGCTCAGCAATAAATCCAAGAGGAATTGGCTCCTTTTGGCAGAAGACTCTTTGACATGACTCCTTATTTCAGATAAGAATGACACCTGATACACACAGAACATTTGTTAGCTCCAGTGCAAAGAAGCAAAAACCTTTATAAAACCCTAATTCAGTGTTTCTCAACCTTGAAAACTTTAAGATGTGTGGACTTCAACTCCCAGAATTCCCCAGCCAGCATGGCTGGCTGCGGAATTCTGGGAGTTGAAGTCCACACATCTTAAAGTTATCAAGTTTGAGAAACACTGCCCTAATTGAAACTTGGCTTTTTTTCCCCTCCTACCTTTCTGATTTAATGGCTATGTAGCTAACCTTTGATGGCCTTGGGAGGCTGCTGGTAAACACTGACATAAGGATTCTTTCTAGCCTGGGAACTTCTGGTTTCCATCGCATGAGCTTCAGCCCTTACAATATCAGCAGGATAAAGTGGGGAAGCAGGACCCAGATTATAAGAAATACATAGAGAATCACAATATGGCTATCCGGTCATGAAAGACCAGACTGTTCACCACTCATTGAAATGGGGTCACTTCCTCCTGCCCCACCCACAGCACCCCTTTCCACATAATAGCACAGAGCAGAAGCATTTGCAAGCAATGAGCTAGGACGTCTTCATCTGACAAAATTTTTAAATAATCAAATTTAATTTTTTTTTAAGTCATGTTTAAATCACTTTTTAAATCTTTTAAATCTTATATAAAAGGTATAGCTGCCCTCTCAAAAATGACTCAGGGTGGTGCAACAACAAAACACTTAAAAAATAAATGATCTTGAAAAAAAACATAAAGCCAAGTCTGCCAAAAGCAATCCAGCATTTGAAACAATCACCCCAGAAGGGTTATCCACAATAGGGTCGCCAATTTTCAGGTGAGAAAGAGAGCTATAAGAACCAAAACAAATCTATTTTAACTAAAAGATTAAAATATTGTTCTTAGGACTGGAAAGATAAAATAAGTTTGAATATCTTTACTACTGTTCCGTTATTATAATGTTATCAAAAATATTTTGCAATAACACCATCACTAAAAATACGGATACTACCTTTAACAATACCTTTGTTGTAAGAGTTTTTATTATAAAAAATGTTATTAATCCATTAGCAATTAACATAGGATGAAAACATCTGTCACGGCTTTCTGTTCCGCATTTATTACATTAGCCCATCTTAATTAGTCACCTTGTAGCCAATGGAACTATTGTGGAAAAAGGTCCTGAAACATTTCCTCTAATGTGAGCAGAAAAGCAGGTTTGAGTTATATTTCTAGCAATGATGGGCTTTTGATTATTTAAAGATGTCAGGAGGTCACCAAGTTTGTATCTATCTAATTTAAAATAGTGCTATAATGAAAGGCAAGAAGATGATCAGCCAGTGTTTTATATCCTGCTGTCTGATAAATACAGACAAGAGAGAGAGGGAGAATACGCACATGATAAACAAGCACAACCCTAAGTGTTGCCTATAATTTACATATATCGTAGCTGGCACTAAGAAGGATAGTTTGCTCGGAAGAGTAATGAAGTAGCACAGAACCTATCACTATAGATTACCCTACCACATCTCTTTCCTTGCTGCTTCATCAAAAAGTAGTAGACAAAGTAACATTGCTGTTTCACTCGTGATAGCACCATGATCTTGGAATATCAACGCAACTGAAAACAGAACAGAGACATTTACATTGTTTTTCTAATCAGCATAAAAGCTTTCAAGGTTCTAAATACCAAATTTCAGAAGAACATCAATATTTAGGATTTGCTCTTAAACTGTGATCCATCAACAAGATATATGAGAAATATTAATGTTGCTCCTAAAACTGCAAGCTAGAAAATGCAAACATATCCAGCTTTTGGAAATAAAATACTTGTAAAAGTATCACCCCTAAGGCTGTGACACATTTAATTGCTTAATTCAAAGGTATAAAAACAAATAATCAGGTAGCTCATAATATTAAGGCTTATAGTCAGTTGGGTTGGGATCATAAAAATCAGAATCAGTTGAAACTAGAATTAATTAATTTTTGGAAGAAGAATCAGTTTCAAAAATTAAGTAGAATTGAGAAAGTGGTTGTGAGATATACAAAATAATTTCTGAAAACAGAGGGATGCTGCAAGTCTAAATACATTAAAATAGGAGAAAATCCCATTAAACACAGTACATATAGCCCTCGCTTAACGATAATTAATTCAGTGACTATTCAAAGGTACGACGGCACTGAACAAGTTACAACCAGTCCTCAAAGTTACAGCCATTGCAGCGCCCTTGTGATGACATGATCAAAATTTGGGTGCTTGGGAGCCCACTTGCATTTACAACTGCAGTGTGCACTTCAATTCCTCCACCCACCTGCCTTCCCCCATCTCTGCCCTTTTGGCTGGTCTGCACTCTGCTGCCACCTACCCCTGCCGCCCCCACCCCCCAGCTGACCTTCACCGTCTTCTTCCTCCTGCTGCTGACAAGGCATCCCCGGCGAAGGCAGCTGCGCGCACTTCACAAGGCTGCATGGAGGCTTCAGGGAGGCCGTACGTGGCCTCACGAAGGGGCAGCAACTGCCTTGGCCAGGTGCACCTCATCAGCAGCAGGAGGAAGAAGACAGTGAAGGTCAGCTGGGGACGATGGGGGACAGCAGGGGTAAGCAGCAGTGGCAGAGAACAGGGTGGCCAAAAGGGCAGAGATGGGAGGAAGATAGGCAGGGGGAGTTGAAGTGGAGGTGAGCATGGCAAGGCAGGGAAGTGTGAGGTCCTTGCCTAATGATGGCACAGTCTTGTCCTAAAAACCGTAACCAGGACTACTGGAATTGCCGTTGCTAAGTGGTACAGTCATGTGATGTTTTGCCTAACACCCACTTTGCTTAACAATAAAAATTCTGGCCCCAATTAGGGTCATTAAGTGAGGACTGCCTGTATAGCTTATTTTCCAATAAACTTACAGAACTTCAAAACATTTTTCAACTTACTCTGACCATTTACTTTCTTCCAAAATTAAATAATTTTAATGCAACACACAATAACATGAGTTGTATAAGAATGAAATTAGACTTGTCAACAGAAGCTGCAATTGAGATATCTGTTACTCAATGTTTTAACATATGGCCAAAATTAATAAGATTAAAGAAATCTTTCTTAAAATACTGGTTCAGTTTAGTAAAATTAAGACTTTTGGATGCAACTGTTCATAGTTCTCTTTTTAAAACCTTTAGAAAGGATGAGCTGCTTTTAACTGTTTATGTCAGAAAAGACTGTTACATCCTCATAAGATGCTTGGTTTGCATGTGGAAGATTCCCAGACACTGGAAAGCAGTCAAAATATACAGAATTGGGCTAATGAATTAATTCTTATACTATATTGCATATTATATTATATTACACACACATACACCAGCACATACATATACCCATACTGTAGTATATTGCAATAATTGAAAAATATCTCCATAACCACATTCTACTAATAAAAGTGAAGCTTTGAAGAAAATTCTTTAATATGGCTGTCTCAATCATAAGTCTTTCTGAAGCAGCACTGCACTGCTGAACATTTATACAAAAGCTTATTTCTATTTTCATTTTAACCACCTAAAAATCTTATTGGTGTGGGATTTGTTTTCCCAAGGGCCCAAGAATGCTTTCTACACATTTTTATTATGCTTTTATGATGTTACCTCTAAATAACACAAGCAAGACAGAAGGCCGGTAAGCCAATGACAGTCGTTTGACTGGATCAGCAGAAAGAAGTTTCCGCAAAAGTGCAAGACATGGCAACATCATACAGTCCATGATCTATCAAAAGAAAAAAAAAATCTGTTCACTAAAATCTGTAGTAGCAACATACTGAATAAGCATTCTGGAACTTCTCTGAAGTCAACACTCTTTGGAAGTTTGAAGAACTTCAAAAGTCTGTCTAGCCTTACTTGTCTTTTGGTTTGATACCTCAATCCATTATTCCCAAATCTAGAGAAACTACTTCTAATAAAAAAGCTCATATTTTAATATTTAGTTGCAAAGGCATAAAGGCAATGGAAAAAATCTAACACATTTTTAAAGCAAGGTATTTTGTTTTCTTTTGCAGCACGGAACTTCTAATATAGATGAAAACTTGCAAGAGCTTTTAATGTTTTACCCCAGCTCACTCACAGATAGATAAATAGATAGATGGATATAAATTAAATTAAGCATAGTGGTTTCTATTAATGTTTTAAACAAAACCCTCATAAATTTATTTACAAAATTAATTACTGCTGATAAAATTGTATTATAATCATGAAACTGAATAAACCATCCTTAGATATACAAGTAATATTGTTCCAAAATCTCTGAAATATCAGTTGGGCTTGGTTGATTTTGGCATCATTTAAATTATGATGAAAAAGCTAACCATATTACTCAATAATTAATAATTGATAGGACTCCCTTGGCTATTCTTTCAGTCCATGAGCAACCAGTGAGTTAACCTTACTCTAGGGGACACTCTATGTAGCAAATCTGCTGGCTGTCTCTTGCAGTCCCTGACCAATACCACCAAGTTGAGAATCATGCTGAAGGAGTTTTAACATGGATTTATCTAGTCCCTGCACCATCTGAATTGCAGTAGGATTCATCTACCATCCCTCTCATGGCTCCCCACTTTCCTTCAACCACTGCCATGGCCCATCTACCTTCACACATGACTACTGTATTGCTGTATATCACTTCCTGATCCACCTAGATCAAGCAAAATGTTTGTCTTTGAGGCCACCTACACTCATAGTGCACTCGCACATAGCTCTGAGGTGATGCTTTGGCTAGCAGCAGACCACATAAGCAGACAAAAGAAAAATGACTATTTTCCCAATTCTCATCATTTTTTTAGTTCATTGCCTGGAAGGAAAGTTGCAGTTTTTTGTAAAGCTTAAGGAAACTGGACTTCATATATGTGGTCTTCAAAAGAAAAAAATGTTAGAATGCTAGCATTTGAAAAAAAATGCACCATAATCAATTTCTAAATAAGGTAACAATCTGGAATGGCCTTATTTAGCCATTTATGATTACATTTATGATTTTTAAGCTTCAGAATCAGCTAAAGAATAACAGATTATTCTGCTTCCTAATAAAATAGAAAGAGGAGAGGAAGCACGTAAGTTTGAGATTCCATATGAGCTCCTTTCTTCTTCTGTATAAACTTGCTTATCATTTAAATAGCAAGTTTCTGAATCGGGATTTATTTAGTTTTTAATTACAAGCTGAGAAGTGATACTAGAGTCAAAGAATTAGACAGTGAAGTTTCCTTTCACTGTACTCCGCATGCTTAGTCACTACATTGATATAAAACTCATCATATTCCAAGTAGCAAATATTTAATTCCTATCCAAAATAGTTCGACTGAACATACAACAGTTGGAGCCCTGGGAAGGTTCTGCTCAAAGAAAAGTTGATGTAGTTTTACCTTGCCATCTTGAGCAACACACTCAGTAAGGTAAACAAGAATTCTGTCTATTGCACCCATATTTTTGATAATTGCATGCATTTTGGAATCTGAAAGAAAAAATAAAACATTAACGTTCTATATATATACTTTCCAACAATGCATAACAGTGGATTCAGAACTGCTTTATTTTTAAAACTAGGTACAGACAAGTAAATGTGCCTCCTTCCTGCAACAATTAAGCTAGACCTAAATGGTGAATCACAAATTGTGATTTGTTACCAATTTGAGTCCTCTGCAAGATTCCAGATATTCCCATCTTACCTCCTGTCATTCTAGCTTTCTGATTATCACCCCACTCCCCTGCCAACAATAAAGCACTGAACTTACTGAGCATGGACAATCCTCAGTCCATTTTGAGGTAAGGAGGGGACAATTGGAATTACTTGTGTAAGACTTTTTCTAGTATGTTGAAACTTTTGTTAACTCTACCTTCTGGATATGCTGTTGTGCTTGAATGGGGTTCTTTTGAACCAGCTCTTGGAGAATTGAAAGAGGCACTAGAAATAGACATGGAACCTGCCACCACAAAATGCTGCAGAGTGAAGTGCTTCTATTCATCTTTCTATCCAGCAAGCCAATCCCATTCTCACAATACTCCATCTGTACAGTGTCTTTGTTTTATTTTTTAAAGGAAAGTGGATTAGGAGATCATGCTATTGGTATATAAATATCAAGCATATACACAATGTTTAAAAAGTGGCTAAGGAATGGTGATTCAGATTTTATTGCAAGATAAAAAGAATTATATGAATTACCCATTCTAAAACATCATGTCAAGATTTTCCTTACATTGGAACAACTCTATCTTAATGATAAATTGTATTTTAAAGAACTTCACCTTGCATGATTATGACTAATTGCTCAGCTGCTGACTTCTTCAAACTCAGATCAATGGTGTCCGATATAAAGATATTGTACAATTTTTCAATGGTCTCAGCCTAAAAATAAAACAAATATATCTTATCTGTTCACATATTTTCCCGTATCATCCCTTACAAGAAGAAGGACATCTCAAGTCCAATGTCACCAAGAAGGAACAGCAATATACACAGCACCACTTTGGGCTTCAATTTTCTCTCACAGTAAATCAGAACAAACAATTAAATACTCACAAGATCAAGCTAGAATATTATTGCCTCTAGATGTAAACCCCAAACATCCATTTTTGAAGCCGGTATCTCACAAACTGATACACTTATGCTGCTTTATAATCTTCCCAAATGCATTTTCAGGAGCTTATAGGGAATTGGGGACCTTCTAGGATTTCCTCTTCTATGACTGTATAATCTCTAACAGAATATGAGATAGTAGGTTATCCTAATTTCTCTACACCAATTCCAGATTCTCCCTCTCTTCTCAGCCATTGTTTTCCTTGGCTCTTCTTACTTTTCTTTCTTGCTATCCTCCTCCAGTGTCGCTTACTGTCTATGCTCTTTTCCTGCACCCTGTTGGCTTTCTTACCCTCCTGTTCCAGATCTTCCTCTTTTTCCCTACATCATCCTCTTCTATTTTTATGGCTCTATTCTTTCCACAGCTTCTACCCCTTTTCTCATTTCCTCCTCCTTTGCCATCTGTTGTCTCTATCCTCACCCTCTTTCAACTCCTCCTGGCTGCATAGGAACCACAGATAAAATAACAGGCAATGTTGGTTTCTTTAGCTAACTTTCTGAGCAGCCCACAGGCACCTGGCAAACAGAAGAAACATCATCCATAAGTAATAAAGCCAGGAGACAAAAGGTTGCTTCATATCTTGGTAAAGTAAAAGATTAATTGCCAAACCTTAGATAGGAAATTCTAAGCCAATAGAAATGTTACTACTGTGTTACTTTTCACATTTCAATTGTCTTAAAAACCTATTTATTTTATCCCTCAAGACGCTAACATATAATTGAGAGGACCTGGAGTGCCCACACTCTGTCCGAATGGACTGGGGAGGCAGAAATGATTGGCAATAGACCACATAACCAGGTCTCATGCCATGAAGGGCTTTATAGGTAATGACCAGCACCTTGAATTGCACCTGGAAGCCAACAAGCAGCCAATGCAGCGTGCATAGCAGCAATGACATATGGACATAATGAGAAGCACCCCTTACTGCTTATGCCACTGCATTTTGAACCAGGTGTAGCTTCCAGATGGTCTTTAAGGGCAGCTTCATGTATAGCATATTGCAATACTCCAGTCATGAGGTGACCAGGTCATGAATGACCATCTGAAGGGCCTCCTGGATGAAGAAAGGGCACAACTGGTACACAAGATGAATGTGTGCAAAGGCCCCCCTGGCCACAGCTCCCATCTGTTCACTGAATAGTAGCTGTGAGTCTAGGAGGATCCCCAAGTTGCATTCCAGTCTCGAATGCGGAAGTGCAACCCCATCCAAGACTAATAGTGGAAATGCCCTTGGCCTAGGACGCCCAAACAGCCACTTAGTCTTGTCAGGATTGAGCCAAAGTCTGTTCTTCCCCATCCAGACCCAGCCAACACTGGGTCAGCACATTGACAGTTTTACCTGCCCAGCTGGGGTTAAGATATAGAGCTGGGTATCATCAGCATACTGATAATACCAGACCCCAAACTGACAGACGTCCTCACCTCACCTAATCTGCTAAGATATTGAGGAGCACAAAGATTGACACACCACTCCCATCCTGGCTCCAAGGGAAACACAATTGCTTGAAATAAAGCTCACTGAGGCAAGACAGAAAGTGATCACCATGGAGGAAGAAGGCTATGAATGGTCAAAAGAGCTCTGCCCTTTTCTCAAGATCAGACCCACCTTCCAAAGGTGCAGGAACCATTTTGGGAGTTTGCTTTAAAAAGTTTAGCTCAATTGCTGGTAATTTCATGGGCACTTAGTTTTCTTGTCAACAATACCAGAAGCGATTTACCATTATCATCTTCTTCTTGTTTTTTTTCACTTTTACTTTTCCATCTAGGTGGTAGCCCTGGTATTTTCTAGTAGTCTCCTTCCTATGTATTAACCAGATGTGACCCTGTTTAACCTTCTAAGAAAGGGCTTGTGTATTTCTTTGTTTATTCAGCTTTTCCAAGCATGGAAAACCAATCAGATAATAACATCAACAATAATAATGTGATATGTAATACCAGCATAAAGACATTTAGAACAGCAAGAGTTACAAATAACTGTATATGGTAAGGGAAAAGTGAATCATGTTCACCAAAGAAAGTGGAAAGCGAAATGTCACCAATGGAGTAATCCAGAAACAGTCTTGGCTACCAAAGATTAGCTTTGACATAAAGTAATCTTATTTTCAACCATTTCCACATTTCAGTAGTTAAAATTAAAAATTAATTTATTGGGCTTTATACACAGCTAGATAGTAGTCTGGCATCAAAAATGAAGTTGTCCACAGCCATCTGGACACGTCCCTGACCAGGGAAGGATTTGAAAACAGTTTGCCATGACTGAGGACAACTTGCTGGACCACATTGGACCTCATGTATCAAACTTTTACTTTTTCTTTACTAGAGTTTCTTCAAATAAATGTAATGAATTATTTCTTAGTGAGAAAATAATATCACCCAGTTTTAAAAAATGGGTAATTAATACTTCAACAGTATCATCTGCACTGCATTTCCTTGCTTAGGGGTCCTCTCCAGTTATCAATCCTGTGAAAAGTTTTCTCTGTTCACCTTAAAAACAGACTCTCTTGTATCATCCAGCTTGAGTTCAATAGGCTTTTCCACAATAAAGACGTTAGAAATACTTGAAAGAATGCTGCCATGCAACAGTGGGCGCTTCAGATGGGCCTCTTCTTCTTCCACAAGGTGAATCATTAACTGTTTGAGTGCCACAGAACGAACTCTGGGGAAACAAAGCATTTCCTTAGAAGATTTCCAGATCTTTACTGAAGATTTATATGCACAAAAATCTAAATCTCACACCAAATGTTTTTGGATCAGTCTGATTTTATATATCTTGCTTAGCTTTTCCAACATCTTATGAGCACAGCCAAATTGTTCCTGTTAAAGGCCATGTTGGGTGAATTAAAACAGTTTGAATTTTTGCATCACATCAGACAGAACTGGTTACCAATTAATAATTTTAGCCTTCCAAAACAGTCCACAAAATCATGTAGACCAGCTATCAACTCAAAGTTGATGTAAAAAATGCAGTAGATGAGAGTTCAGTGCCAGTGTTTTACAAGTTGATTTGCTTGTCACTTCAAAGAGTATCTCAATTTCTGTGCTCCAGTTTTCCATAGTAAAACAAACACTTAATCTTCTCTTCACTGCTTCTTCAATCCAGTCAGTCATAATCTATTTCTACCCACCCTCCGCTTTTCCAAATTAGTGTCTTTCAGACATTTTACAACCTTCTAAGGATTGGCATAATTTCCAGCACCTCAAGGATGTATTACTTCATTCTAAAATGATTTATCTAAGCGGAGGGTTGTCATTTGGGCTGTGCTCCATTTTCTATCTTTTTGCAAATTGGCTAAATTGACACGCAGTTGAAAAAGTTGTATCACCTGCATTTGAAGGATATAGCTGCTATAACCTCATCTGCCTTTTCCATTCAAAAGAAAAATTAACTTACTGTATCTTCAAAACTATATTCCATGCAGGCCAAGGTACAGATAATAATCCTTTTCTCATATAAATGTTATTGCTGGTTTACTCACAATGGTTTTTTTGAGAAGAGAAGACGAAGAGAAGCTCTTAGCCTAGTAGTTCTTGGCAGAATACCTTCATTTTCAGTAGTTGTTTCACTCAGTGTGAGAATGCAGTTACCTAGAGGTTCTTCTGTGTTTGCATAACCCTAAGTAAATACTTACAAGTTAACACAGGCAGATAATTACCATAAGTAAATATCATGCTCCAAAAGAGACATTATTGCTTTATTACCAAGAAAACTCTCTCAGTAATTGGCAACAGGAAGTTAACAGACCAACTGATAGGCAATTGCCATTTGTTTTTCAAACATGCATTGTTTGTTGGAGATATCCCAATTTCAGAGGACAGCTTCTGGGGGACTGTGGTTCAA